ATGCCTCTGCTGTGTACAGGGAGAGACTGCACCCATCGGGTCAGCACAGTTCGGTGGCTTATCTCAGTATCATGCCAAAAAGTGATAGAGACAGGCTTCTTAATTTCTGGGAAATCATGGGGAGAAACAACAAAACAGGCATCCACAGAGAGCTGCGATGAGCCAGAGCTGCTCAGATAACTGCCTGCATTCACCAAAATCCACTTTAGAAACAGCTCATGTGACTGATACCTGAAACAAATCTCTCTGGGAGAACAACAAAATAACCTTAAAATGAAACCCCAACAGGGATACTAGAAATACTGTATTAGCTCCTCCTTTTCTATAGAGATAACATTAGGTTTTTTAAGGGAATTGAGCAAAGAGAACGATGATCTTCCGGGACATCGTGGCTGGGAAGTTGTCCTCCTCCTGCTGTGTTTCTTTTTTCCTCACCTACTGCATCATTAGTGCCTTAGCTCAGCTCCAAATAGGTGACTCCTTTCCTTTGTTCCTGCTCTTACTACATAGAAAGGAGCAAGTTCTCTTGTATCGCAGGATACCTAAAACCAGGAACACCAAGAATTCAGTTTCCTTAGGTCATTTTCCAAGCTGGTGGGCTGAACTCCCAGGCAACGGCTGGCAAAAGGGTACTGAACTGCAGGCGGTGAATTAACCCAAGCAAGGAAGGCAATTTTGTTTATTTATAGCTATCCCTTTTCCTAATGAGATTTGAATCAGTGTCCATCCGAGTCTGACACAGTTGGATTCTGTTTAAAAGAGGTAGAGACACCCCTTCAGGGCTCACTGGCAGGCTGTAGGATTTCTAGCATCACTTTTGTGCTAAGAGTGTTTCAAATGGCAGGAACCCGATCTCTTCAGTTTCTTCTGAGACATTGCAGTGGATTTAGGATCTTCTCTCAGCTTTCACCTTCATGCATTTGAGGCTTGAATCTGAAACCTTTCAACCCAAATTATTTTTATCCTGTTACTTGATCCAGCCAGTTTTTCTCTTCTGTTTGACAAATACTGCAATTCTCTGCCCTGCATACTGTCTGCAGCTTGGTTTTATAGACCAGGAGAGAGATTCCTTGTGTATAGGTTTGCCACACAGCTGGGAAGGCAGGTGTTTTGGCAGGGGGGGAAGGCAGGTTAAATTCCTTGAGGTCCCTGAATTTCAGAGCTAACATCTACTTTGAGTATAACCTAAATCCCTGGCATATTGCCCACCCTGTGAAATGTATCTGAATTTTCAGTGTGAGCCCAGGACATCCCTCCTAAGCTAGAGCTCTTTGTAGGGCACTTGTAACAGCAGCGGGCTTTTGGGGGGGGTGCTCAGGACTGTATTCTGCTTCCTTTGGCACAGAGAGATGGTTGGCACCAAAATAAACTGGTTCCTGTTACCCAAAACAAACAAGAAGAGATTGTGGAGGTTACAAGCTTCTGGCTGCCTGTGTGTAATGGGAAGTGAATCAAGCAATGGGATTTCTTACTCCCTCAGAAGATACTAGTGCTTTGGAATAACTCATCTCTGCTCATGACAGAGATTTCAGAGGTCTCTGTGCCAGTGGACGATCCTGGCACCTTTCTGTAGGCAGGACTGAAGTGCCCAGGCCTCCTTGGAGTGACGCATTTTGATCGTGCTGTCATGGAACGGACATTTGTTGTGATGTGGTATAAATCCACAATTGGCACTGTTTCACACAGGGGCACTCAAATCCAGGAAGGGAACAGAGTGCTTAGCAAAACCCTGCAGAAGCATCGCAGAGAGAGCACATCCCAAAATGCTGCACGAGCACCTCTGAAGTTGTCAACGCCCTGAAGCGCAGCATGGATCTGCATCTGCAAGGATGTGTGGCAGAGGCAGGGTGCACTGGTACACGCCAAGCAGCGATGGGAAGGAGGAGCTGTGTGAAAACGGGGCTGCAGCTTTGTTCCCTTGCACTGCAAGTGCTGGTGGGTGGCTTTGCTTCCAGCAAGACCCCCAGTGCCAGCTCTGGTCTCTGGATTTGGGCCTCATGGGTGTTCAGAAGAGGGACCATGAATGCATCAGTTTGTGAGATGGGAAAGCGCTGGGTGATAAGCTGCGATGGGGGTGTGGGGGAAGGACTGGTTGGGTTTTTAACCTTAGGATAGCACATAGGTGTCAAAATTTCACTGCAGGCCAGATAAAGCATAGTGGTAACACTCCAAGGTAAAATGTAGGCTTGTAACAATTGTTACTCAATGTGCAAAGTTCACCACGTCTCCATTGGCATTTTCACGTTAGCTCACATGAGCTTAAAAATTAAACCTTTTTGCCCAGCAAAGGGAAGATCTAACAGTAATCATTCTGGTCCAGGACGTGCCTGAGGTGACAGAGGAGAGGTTGGGCTCTCATAAGCTCTAGGGCAGACAAAAGCAGAATGCAAAGTGAGAAGAGAAAATTTTCCTCATCTTAATGAAATGAGAAATGGTCATTTTCTGGGGTGCTAGACCCATCCTCATTTTCCCCTCAAAAGGGAAATTAAAAACCAAATCACTCCCTTACTGCACAGTAATGTGAGATTCCTGCCAACATAGCGCGATAAGGGCAAGAAAGCTGTCTGGATGCAGGCAAAAGCAGTGGCCCCAACTGGGGCAGCTGGACCAACCGTGAGAAGCAGTGACTGAGGAGCCTCTGCCTAACTCCTAGGCCTTTTCTTCCCCCTTTTCCACCCTGGATTGCGCTGTGGCACATCAGCAGCTGCCTGGTTCTGCTGCTCGGCTGGAAGTGGGTTTTCAACTTGATGACAGAGCCATGGCTACAGGCGATGCTGCTATTCATACACTGCCTTTTCAGCTGGGCTTGGAGGAGATAGTGATTCAGGGATGCTTTAATCATTGGCTTGTTTGCTGAATTTTTCAGAAATAAGCAACAGCCTCTGGAGGAAAACAGCAGGTGTCATGTATTTACCACCTGCTCTCAAAGTGCTCCCCAAGGTAAAGCACAAAGAGGTAAAGGATGGACAGCACAGTGCCTAAGGTCTGCCCAAAATATTAGCTACAAGGTGGAGTAGAGGATGCGTGTATGGCTGAGGCCTGAGCATTGCAGCCACGGGTGCACCTTGCAAGTGATGCTCAAAAGCCCTTGTGAGACTTGTTCCTTTCTTTTTTTTTAGGAATACACAACAATAAATGTTTTCTAGCTTATTTCAGCTAAAAGGTCAATAGAAAAGGTCTTACTCTCTTTCCTGAGCTTTCACAAAGGATGGTGCTGGGTTTCCAGAAGACACCTACCATGTTGGAGAATGTCACTAGTCTTAGTTGTATACCTTCATGTCAGCCATGAAGGACTTCAAGGCCCAGGTGCTCTGGCAGTGTTTTCCAGCAGGGTCTGGTCCTGCTGGACTCTGGGTTTTAGGTAACTACCATGTGGCTTGTTTCATACGAGGTTAGTTGTGATTACCATGCAACAGCTATTGTACTCCTGCTTGAAAGCCACTTCATCCACGTGGCCCGGCTTCCCAGCCGTGCTGTGACCAGCACCCTTCAGGACTGCTTGCATGTCCCTGCTCCCAGCATTTCTTGTTCTCCACATCCAGCTCTCCCCGAGGAGAGCAATGCTGTGCTGTACGTAGGTTCATAATCATGTCTCATTGCCAGTGTCCGCTGTGGCAGCCCTCGGAAAACCCTGGTGTTGAGAGGATGGTGGGGTACATATGGCACTGCCAGGCCACCGGGCTCCGGTTCGTGTCCCCAGCTGCTCTCACGTCAGCATGTGCGTGGGGGGCCGGCAGGTGCCTGAGCGCGTGGATCTCCGGCGACCCTATCCACTCTCGTAAACCATCATTAAAACATGCAAACCCCACAGCCTGCGGTGTTTCCTTGGGGCAGCGGGCCCCCGGGGTGTCGGGACCTACGGGAAACCTTCCTGTGGGCGCTTGTGGCGAGTGTTGCCCCATTGCCATGCGGGACCCCAGTGGCCACCCCACAGCCCAGGTTTCTTCACCTCGGGATGACAAATGCGAGAAGCAGCATGGGCACGAGGGGCGCTGGCCTCGCCCCCCGGGGCTGTCCCAGCACCCGTGGGATC